AACGTCTATATATATATTATAAGTATTATAATTATACTAATTAATATATAATAAATTATTATTTTACTATATATATAAATACATATATATATATATAACTTATATATAATATATATATATTATATATAATATATATAACTATCATATTACTAAGTATATATATATATAAGTATTATTCTATATATAGTGTACAGGCGATAAATTCTACTATATTAAATAGTACTATATATATATATAATATTTATAACTATTAATATATTTATTATATAAATATATAATATATAAAGGTTAGCTATTATATATAATATATATATAATATAAATATATTAAATATATATTATATATATATAATATATATATACATAAATATTTATATATATATTAAATTATATATATTAACTTAGTTATATATATATATGTAGTATATTAATATACTATATATTATATAATTCTATTATATATACTATTATATTATTATATATATATATATATATATTATGTGGTGTGTGTGTGTGGTAATATATATAATATTAGTGAATATAATATATATATTAGGATATTATATATATATTATATATAATATTATATATATATATATATATATATGTATATATATATATATTATTATTGTATATATATATGTGTGTAGTGTGATGTGTGGATGCTATATATTATATATATTATATTATCTATTATATATATACCCAATATTTATATATATAATTATATATATAATATTATGGCATGATCTATATAAATATGGATATATTATGAGTAATAGTATATTATATTATACATCATATAATTATACCCTATAAGTGTTACATATATATATATATTAAATATATAAGGTGTAATATAAATACTATACTCTAGTGACATATAAAATATATCAGTATATATATAATATACATACTATAATATATATAGTATATATATATATTATTATATTATATAAAAATTATATCGTATATTTATATATATATATATAATATATATATTCACTACATACTATATATAAATATATATATATATATATCTATATCTATATATATATTACATATGTATATTACTATAAATATGTATATGTATATATATATATATATATAAAATGCTATAGTATATATTATATATATATACATAATATATATATATATATAATGTTAAGTCTAACTATTATATATATATATAGTGAGTAGGAGTGATTTATATTATATACATAAATGGGGGTATTATATTATATATATAATATAGGGGGTATATTTATATATTATAGGGAGGTTTATGCCATATCTATATATAAAGAGGGTGGGGTATATATATTATTATATATATATATTATAAATTGATATATCCTATCCTATATTGAAATTATATAATATATATATATGCGTATATATGTGGGGGGTAATATATTATATATATATATGTATTATATACTAAATATAGTATATATATATAATACATACTTTATTATATATTAATCGTTATCACTATCCTCTTGCCGCTAATCATCTAATTCATGGATTGTAGCAGGTCTCATATATCGCGTCTATTTCGCAATTATTAACGAGGTTGTGTTGTGGGGTAGTGTGTGTGTGTTTTTGTGTGTATGTATGTTTGTTTGCGTTTTCTTGTTGCTGCGTGTGAGTGTGTGTGGTGTTGTGTGTGTGTTGTGTGTGTGTGTGGTGTGTGTGGCGTGTGCGTGTGCGGTGTGCGTGTGCGTGTGCATGTGTGTGTGTGTGTGTGTGTGTGTGTGTGTGTGTGTGTGTGTGTGTGTTGTGTGTGGTGTGTGTTGTTGTGTGTTGTGTGTGGTGTGTGTGTCTGTGTGTGTCTGTGTGCGTGTGTGTCTGTGTGTGTGTGTTGTGCGTGTCGTGTCTGTATCTGTTTATGTACATGTACGAGTAAGTATGTGAGCGCACGAATATGCACACACGTGTATATGTAACCTGTATGTGCGCATCCGTACATGTGCGTGCGTGTATGTGTACGTAATCGGCACAGAACATGAAATCCGATAAGAGAAAAGGATACTCCGATATACAGTTGTTTTCACCCGAATCCGTAAGGGCTGAAATGGCATGCTCTGCACTGGATGATGCAATGCTCTTATTCTGGCCTTTTCTAGAATAAAAAAAAAGGTAAAAAATTGATGATGATGATGATGAATGATGATGATAACTAACAACGATAATGATAATGATGGTAATAATATTGATAATGATGATGGTGGTTGTAATAATAATAGCAAAATAACAGTGACAGCAGAACAATAACAATAATAATAACAGAAGCAGCAACATGACGCACCGCATACCCCGCCAAGGCAGTAAGGTCACGATGCAATAGGGTCACCGATGCAGTAAAAATATTCACACTTGAAGAATTACTTTAAAATCACTTCTTTCTGGAGTGTATCTATCTCTATCTATCTGTCTATCTATATCTATCCATCTATCTATCTACATCTATCCATCTATCTATCTGTCTATCTGTATCTATCCATCTATCTATCTGTCTATCTGTATCTATCTATCATCTATCCATCTATCTATCTGTCTATCTGTATCTATCCATCTATCTATCTGTCTATCTCTATCTGTCTATCTGTATCTATATCTATCTATCTATCTGTATCTATCTATCTATTTGTATCTATCCATCTATCTATTCTTTTTTTTCAAGTAACACGGGTGATGTGTTGTGTAAAGTGTGAGTGCACGGTGTGTCAGTGTGTGTGACGAATGTGTGTGTGTGTGTGTGTGTGTGTGTGTGTGTGTGTGTGTGTGCGTGTGTGTGTGTGTGTGTGTGTGTGTGTGTGTGTGTGTGTGTGTGTGTGTGTGTGTGTGTGTGTGTGTGTGTGTGTGTGTGTGTGTGTGTGTGTGTGTGTGTGTGTGTGTGTGTGTGGTGTGTGTGTGTGTGTGTGTGTGCTGTGTGCTGTGTGTATCCATGCATGTGTGTTTGTTTTTTGGAGGGATTGCTGGAAGAGGAGAGTGTTGTCAGCGTAAGAGGCCGAAGAGGGATCGCAAAAAAATCAATCCCATTTGGCTGGGCTAAGCAAAGTCCTCAAAAGGCTTGTAGAGTTGGGGATAGGAGGACGGGGCCTTGTGGAAGAGGAAGTGGCGTTGAGTGAAGTGGTGCTGCGGAGAGGTGGACAGTAAGGCTGCGAAGTAGTACCGAGGAAGGAGGGAGTAGAATATAAGAGAGAATGGAGGATGGAGGAGAGATGTTGGGAGAGGAGGAATGTTTCCCGGAGGTAGAGTAATGACCTGGGTGGGCGATTGCGACTGACAGGGGCACTGAGAAGGGGGCAGTAGCAGTGCTCAGAGTCGCGGTCAAAGGGAATCCTGGGGTCATGGAACTGGGGAATTAAAATCGTTGAGGGTAGTTGATAAAATGGCAAGGCTATTTGTCCCTGATGATGGCATTAAATCCTCATTACTGGCCATGGAGTGTGTAGGTGAAGAGAAATGGTTCATCCCCCCAGGCTATAGACAACTAAACAGGGGAATACCGTTCCCCAGGCTCCCCCAGGCCGTCCATGACTGTCGCAAAGTCAGCCTTTCGTCCTTTCAACACGACTCTCACGCCATTAAGAAGTGGAAGGGGTCGGGTAGGGAAGGAAAAGGAAAGGGAAAGAAAAGAAAATGGGCAAGATAGGTCGAGTCGAGGGCTGAGGAATAGGTAGAGATAATCCCCAGCATTGGGTCTTAGTCTCCGTCTCGTGACCATATTACTATTAAATGATGATGGTGATACTAATTATGATAATAATGAGGAATGGAAGAAGCCTTAGCATAGGAATGATTATGAAATTTATCATTATAACTATAAATACAGCAAAAAAAAAAATACAGCAGTCCCCTTCATCTCTGAATTGCTAAATGCCCGTTTTCTCTGGGCCGTCCTGCTTAATATAGGGTAAACTATATTAGACCTATAATATCAAAGACCTGTATAAGTGTGTGTGTGTGTGTGTGTGTGTGTGTGTGTGTGTGTGTGTGTGTGTGTGTGTGTGTGTGTGTGTGTGTGTGTGTGTGTGTGTGTGTGTGTGTGTGTGTGTGTGTGTGTGTGTGTGTGTGTGTGTGTGTGTGTGTGTGTGTGTGTGTGTGTGTGTGTGTGTGTGTGTGTGCGTGCGTGCGTGCGTGCGTGCGTGCGTGCGTGCGTGTTGCATGTGTTTATTCCTCTTTCTCTCCTCTTTCAATTTGCTGCCTCCTTCTTCCCTCTTTCTCCTCATTCTTTCCTTTCCCTATACCTCCCTCTTTTTCTCTCTATTTCTTCCCCTTTCTTTACTTTTCTTCTCTCTCTTACCTCTCGAAACCTTCAAAAATGGACATGGCATTTGACTATGATAAATCTATAACACATTATAGAATCCTTTATAACATCACAAAACCCTTTATAACATACCAGAATCCTTTTGCATCTCATTGAAGCTTTTATAGCATTACAAAGCACTTTGAAATATCATAGAACCTATTATGAAATTCTAGAAATCTTTATAAAATTGCAATGCCTTTAAAACATCAAAGAACTTTTTAATACGTCATAAAATTCTGATATCCTGATATTCTATGATGTCATCATAGCATAATTTAGAGCTTCATAGAATGATTTAGGAAATCATAAGTTTCTAGCATCATGAAACTTTTATTACTTAAGCAGATCATGACTCTTGGTGTTACGATAATTTCAAAAAGAAACATTTATGTAAAGTATGTTTTTAAATGCTCCAAGTTTACCTCTCCTGGCTTTAATTTCATTGTAACTAAACTGCCTGCACAATGGCTGATAACAAACAAGTTGTTTTATAACTATATGGATTTCCATATGTGTAGAAAATATCAAAAGTGAAATTAAGGCATTTCCATATAAAAAAGGAAAAATAAGGATAATGGCACACATTTATATGTATGTAGAAACAGCACATGTCTATCTTCATTTTATGTACATAAATAGATTACCTTATACTATCAGAAAGATGGATATCAAACACCAAGAAAAGAGTAAAACGTTTATTTACAAATCAACAATAATACCTTTGAACTAGACTGGGACCATCTTTTCCGATGGCCCACACTTTTTATCAAAAATATATTGATATCAGAAAAAAGCCATATAATCTTTTAAAATTACAAGGCACATGAAAGTCTTTTTGGAATGGCTGGCTATTGACACATACACAAAAGAGAAATATTATCACTGTCCAGGTTAATCTTGCCGAAGACCTTAGCACGTCAACCCACAAGATATTAACTGTAGATTGGAACTGATCGCTCAGAGCCAATCCACAGTGAAAATTCGAACTGTACACTCACGAACGTTCAATTTTCTCAATTTGCCCCACGCTTTTCACATTGTATAAAAAAATTATTTTTCCCGTATTTACAAGTAGTATCACAATCATGTTGATTCTTTCGGTTACTCTACTGAATGTAATCCGCAATGTAATATAGCTATCACGAAGGCCAATAAAAACTTAAAGAGAATAAGCATTTGTGACATACTAAGCGCTAATATTTAGTAATCCATATCTTGATATACTTTGTTTATTTTAAGGGCGTAAAGATACACTTGACAAGTTGATGATGACTGGGTGCATGCAACACGTCCGAGGAACATCACTACATACCAATTCATTAACATCACCGATCTGTCACCCTGCCGTCAATCATCCTCCCTTCAAGCATATTTTCGCCTCAAAAACAAAAAAAAAACACAGTAACCTTCAATGAAAATACATCACATTGAATATTCATCACAATTACAGCATTTCAGATCTCGATGTACATATTTTTCTTTCCTTTTTTTTTTTTTTTTTTTTTTTTTTTTGTAATACAACCATACCCTGAACTTGTGTGTCTGCCATTTGAGGACCGGACGTGTGAATTGCCGTATTAATATATAAAATTTAAGACTGGATGCTAATTGTATATTTCATGTTGAATTTACTTCGATTCTTTTTCTCTCTATGGATAAAATTAATGATGCAAATAAACAATGTTTATTATAACAATAAGGAAAATTATTATTAAAATAATAATGGTAATAATGACTAACACTAAATCAATAAAAAAGGAAAAAATTATAAGATTAATATAATAATGAACTAAAGAATACTGTCATAAAAAATGAACAAAATAAAACAAAAATCTACTACAAAATAATAAACAAATAAAACAAAAATCTACTCCCAATTAATAAACAAATAAAAAACAAACTCATAATACTAAGAAAATATTAAATTACTAACTCATTTACATACGATTCATCAAATAAAGCTACTCTTTCTGCAATCTGCAATGCAATGTCGTAAATCTTGTAAATACAAAATACCTCTTCACCGAACATGGTATAGACGACTCCATTTCATTTGCGTTTCTTTTGGAAAGTGAGAAAATATAAATTACGTTAAAAAAAAGAAGGTATGACTTACGATCGAAAAATTTGAATAAAAAGAAAGTATAACTACAGAAAAAGGTTTGAAATACAAGAGTATATAAAACATTATAATAAGACTGGAAATCAGAAAAATTTATGAATTGTGATTGAAAAATTAGAAAAAGGTATGGATTATGACTGAAAAATTTGAAAAGGGGTATAGACTATGATTAAAAATTACGAAAAGGCATGAATTACGACCGTAAAATTCCAAAAGATGCATCACTATTTCAATTTTAAACCTTAATCCTCATCAATATGTAAAAACTGACACATCAATTACATACCATACTTTAAGGAATTATTCACTCTCATTCATTTACACAGTGAACTCAAAATTGTCAAAAATATTTTTCTCACTCGCACATATACATAAATTTTTTCTGAATAATCATGTGAACGATGATAGATTTTGGCTTTTTCTGTTCCCCTTTATGTACAAAAAAATACTGAGACACTGGGAGAAGCAAGAGAAAAAAGTAATTATATATATTTTGCAAAGAGGAAGAGAGTATTAACTAAATGTGTTCAAAGTTTGGAAAGAAAAAAATAAAAAGCAAAAAGAAAATGAAATACATATAAAAAAATTAATAAATGAAATCACTCATAATGTTAACAGAAGGGAGTAAGTATATACCATTTTTCCTCTGCAACAACATCCTCAAATCAAATACCAATGTTTGGCAAAACAACTTACACAATTGCCATTTCTCGCGGAAAGACTTTAAGGCAAAAAAAGGAACGGTGTTCACAGCTTAGAAAGGCAACGGTAAGTCTACTTGGCAACACTGTCTCATCTCTTCCTTACCAAAAATAGAGAGGATTTCCCCCATTGCAAGTGCGTTGCTGTCTTATACTATAATTAGCCTACTGTACATGTGATATTTATCAATAGATACAAAGTTAATTCTGAAATTATGATAAATGATTTTTTGTTTTTTTTGGGTGTGATGATGTGATCTTAGCAGTTAGATGAAATGCATGCTATAGAAATGATGAAAACAGAAGTAAAATGAATAAAATATGCCATCAAATGATTCCACTTAACTTAAATACTCATTGTCAGGTTTTCATCTCCGTAACACACTCTCAAGTGTCCAACTTGGGATGCGTGTGCTCGTACTCAAACTGGTTTTACATCATTTATAAAAAAAAAAAAAAAGAAAAACAAGATTATTTGTGCCTAATTAAACAAAAACAAACAAACAAACTTAAATATCTGACTGTTAGAACTCATTGAAAAAAGGGTACCCTTTAAATTCACAATACAATGGGGCCTTTTTTGAGAACACTTAGTCAACTTCATGATTGTATTCAAGACCTTATCGAGAGCTCTACCAACAAGACACACTTCGTTTCATAGTTAACCCCCAGAACTGACAAGAACTGAAAGTTTCAGATAAGTAAAATCTGTTCCTCAAAACACAAAATGCAAATGTGATATTCTTTCAGCAAATGACGTGTGTCACATTTCCCGGGTTCAAATGGTGAGAGCTGTGAAAGACAAGTAGTCTCTGCATATAAGATGTGGAAGAGCAGAAAAATTGACTGGGTTACAGTATTCACAATAACAATAATACAAAAAGATATGACACAGATTAGAAAAGATGTTAATGAAATGATCGGCACATAATCCTACAATGCATCTTAGTCCACCTAAACTCTCCTTTCTTTAGGAATAAAGCCTGGAAAGTAATTCAGAACATAAGAGAACTGAGCCCATTCATAGCACTGATTTCTCCTTCCTGTCTGAAGAGATGTGAAAAGCTGAAATATTTATGACAATATGGTACAAAATACATTGTGAGCTAGCAGTCTTGCAACCTATCTACATTGCTTGGTAACATTTGTAAGTTAAATAAAATAAATCCTATAATATAGCACTAAGTGAGTGAAAGGAGAATCATACAAAAGCCAAATAGTTTTACATGGATAATAATACTAAAGTAACCAATGCTATTCTGTGCCATCTAACAGTAAAATCTCTCCTTTACCTTCATTCTGAGAATGATAAACTGCTGCAACTTCCACAAATAACAAAAAGAAAGAACATGTTTTAGAAATATATATATAAAAAAATAATAATAACAAATACAAATAAATATGATCACAAAAATATACATATCTTTTGAGTATCTGCCTTAAGTAAGTTTTCCCATTAACCCCAAAATTTCAGACCATTATTGTAATCATTAACTCTTCCCTTGCAAAAGTCTCTCCACAACCCAGTCTAGCTGTATAGAAGCAAAGCTGTATGTATGCCGTTCTTTCTGTATTTCACTTCTTTTTTCCTAGTCTCATGAGAACTTTCCTCCATTCCTACGACCTCTGACACTTCCTGGAATATGGCCATCAGTTTATGGGTCGAAGTATACACTCCCCAATGCTTGTGACTCCGAGCATGTGTGGCATATAGCTTTCACTCTGGGGCACAAGCATGGAAGGGACCTGACTCATCGCTTGCTGGTACTGAGCGTGTGCTTGAGAATTTTTGGGAGGTCGACCACGTGGCCTCTTGGCAGGAGGCATCGGCGCAGAGTCTGGGGGCGTGTTGTTCGACTTTGGGGTCAGGACTTGCGGGGAGGCATTAACTGTCGCCACGCTGCCTTCTGTCTCGGTTTCGGCAGTACCATCCTCAGGGTGGTAGATCTGCTTTCTGATTTTGTTGAGCTTGTCCTCTGCCTCGTGTCGTCGTAAGTGGTCCTTGAGCTTGTCCCCTCGTGAGAAGTCCTTTCCGCAGATCCGGCACATGAAGGGCTTTTCTCCTGTGTGCATGCGTCTGTGTCGCTTGAGGTGGGATGCACGGGCAAAGTTCATCTGGCAGAATTCGCACTCGAAAGGCCTTTCTCCTGTGTGTAACCGGATGTGGTCCCTCAAGCCCGACTGGCTCTTGAATTCCTGAAAAAGAAAGAGCATCAGTGATACAAACTGTATAAATGTAACTGATATTCAACAAAAGTTATTACTTTCATAAATTGTTTTTGAAACCATGCCTTGGAGAGCCCTGACCTCCTTACTGACATGGGACTAAGTAGGTAGATTTAATGTACAGCAGAAAGCCTTTGAAATTTAGAATGTAAAAGATTTCAGATATATATTTCAATAATGTGAAGGGTAAATAAGTTAAGATACAAAAAAAAAAAAAAAAAAAAAAAAAAGAGAGGGATAACACAGCAAAACAAAAATACTTTGCATGCAACTTTTTTCTATAATTATACCTAATCAATTTTATGCATAACCTAATTTTCCTTTCTAAACCAAAGATGAGATTTTCAAGTGCAAAGTTTTTTATCTAAACATTCTTAACACCTTCCCCTCTTCCCCTTTTGTGATTCAATCATGCATTTGCATAAATCTTTGGTCTCCCTAAAATTCTCAAGGCACAACTATGCAGCACAAATTCTTGAGTATGATGAAAACTAAATGGCAGTCATTGCAGAATTTCAATTTCTCAATCACGTCAGCAAAGCATATGCTGGACTGGTTCTGGTGTCCTGGTGATTTTCCTCCTTAGGCCAGAATGCTGCCTTGGAGGAATCACTGATCCGACTCCTTCAGGGCCATCAAAAAACCCTGGATCCATTAAAACAATGGAGTCCTTTCTGTTCAGCACTCATAATAAAGACTATAAAATCATGAGTGTTTTGCCATCACATTGACCCTCATAAAAAGTCAACTTCAGACTATATGATCCTCTCAAAAAGCACATCAGGATTCACAGTGAATAGTTCAATATACTGTTCATATGAAACATTCTTGGGCCTAAAACCACTTTAGACCAGAACTCAAGCTTAATGCACTGGCTGTAGATGGTAAGAATACATGCCATGTCTAAAGCTATTTCAATTTACAAACAGAAGGCTCCACAAGTGCTTAGTCACCAAGGAGATAATAATTTGTGCTACCTATCTCACCTGTTTACCTATTTCTTTGAATTTTGGCAAGAATATTCTTTATCAATATACTGTTTTCAATTTACTATTTTCGTTGTTATTGTGTCTTAATTTTTTGTAGCCAAAATTTTAAAAATCCGGGCAGCTACAAAATAGCTTCCCCGGACACTTCTTCCGAGACAGCATCGCACTGGCGGGCAGCCCGACACTGTTTATTTTTTCCCTGTGTCTCATATATGTGACACCCGGGACGAATGGGTTAACACGATATCAATGTTAATAACAATAACAACAGTCTCACTATAAATATCATTGGAAAAAAATGTATAAACATATTTTCCGGCAAATCTAAAGAAAGGGGAAATCAGATGCAGTCACTAGGGCCTACTAATAGTCTTTCTGGCGGCCGAGCACTTGTGGAGACATTTGTTTGTAAAAATTCGCAAAAAACTGCAGTGGACAGTCCATAAACCAGCAAACAATAGTTCATAGTTGACCACCCATGTCTGATTCAATAGCTACCACACTGACATAATTGAGCAAAAGGAAACTATGGCTTACCACTATGATGCCAATGGAAGCATCATCGGGTCAAATGGGAGTTCGGAATTTAATCCGCCAACTGACTCACCTTTTTACAGAGAGGGCAGGGCATGGAAGCACTCTGAATGGCCTGCTGAAGGTAGAAATTCAAGTCGATTCTTCCATCGGGAGTTACGTCTGCAGTCACGTCACTATTTTCACAGGGCTCTTCCTTGACACTCAGTTCATGCTTTATGACATCAATGGACTCGCCCTGGAAAATTATAAATCATTCATTAGATAACTGGAAATAAACTAGGCTTAACAATAGCCAATTGATAATAATTTTGAAAGCTCTGACATTATGATATGTAGCCAACTGAAAGACTGTGCAAGGCAGACATTAGGATTAATCAGCATAACAATAATAATGATAACCATTATGATGATGATCATCATAACAGTAGTAACAACAACAACAATAACAAACACACGAAAAACAACAACTTGCATCTCACCATCTCCTCATCGTCTTCCTCTTCTTCGTCCTCGGCCTCCGCTTCCTCATCCTCATTTTCATTGTTATTATTTCCGTTGATGAAGGACGTGGTATTGGGCTCGTCTCCCGCCTCACTTCCAGACGTGCTTGAACTGCCCTCAGATTTACTTGGAGAATCAACAAGCTGTGAAATAAAGATGTTATAAAGTTTTGTTATGAACATATATAAAATTTCATAGAGAAATTTAAAGTTTTACAATTTTCGAGAAGTTTTAAAAGTTCAAAAGTTATATAACTTGAAGTTTTTGTAAATAAAGTTTTGCTACTTATTTAAGTATCTATTTTATGAAGTTATAAAATAAATGCTTTACCTTTGTACTAAAATGGTAAACCATAAAATAAACTGTTACTATTCTGAATAAACATAATAGCAATTAGATTTACTTGAAGAATTGACAAGCTGTGAAATAAAACCTTATCATGCCAATAAACAGTAATATAAATAATTGCTATTTCTATTTATTCAGAATAGTAAAACAGATTTACTTGAGAGAGAGAGAGAGAGAGAGAGAGAGAGAGAGAGAGAGAGAGAGAGAGAGAGAGAGAGAGAGAGAGAGAGAGAGAGAGAGAGAGAGAGAGAGAGAGAGAGAGAGAGAGAGAGAGAGAGAGAGAGAGAGAGAGAGAGAGAGAGAGAGAGAGAGAGAGAGAGAGAGAGAGAGAGAGAGAGAGAGAGAGAGAACCCCAAACACTAAACATACTTCATGCTACAAATCCAAAATAAATAATAAATTTTTCACTCACTCTGTCTCCTTCCTCGAGCCCTAAAACATGCAACTGCTTCGCTGTGTTGAGGAACGAGGCAATGTGTTGCTGATGGACATCGACCTGTCCGCGGTAAATGAAAGACACAAGGTAGAGCACGTCTTGCACTGGTACTTCAGGAAGTAGCAGAGGCGCATCGGTGTCTGGACACGCTCCTAACACGACCGCTGAAGAGAAGAAACTGGAGATTAGCATTCTTCTACCATCAGAAGGTTTAATCTGATATTATATTTACTCTATATATGGATTGAATAAACTGGATATCAGAAATTGATTAAGTGCAAAAGATCAAGTTTACAAGACTCATCTAAGGTTGAAAAGAATTAATCCAGTTACTCTGTGGTTGGAAATAATAGACTGGGCACTGAGATTACTCTAAAGGATAGAGAGAAAAAAAGGTGAGTGTATTTGTAATAAATCCGTTTTTGGGATTACTCTAGGAAAGTCAGGAGGAGAGAGAGACTCACTCCAGATTTTAAATACTATGATTACTCTGAGGTTGAAAATAATGAACTGTCTTTAACATTACTCTTCCAGTAGGGAAAAAAAAATCAATCAGACACTGAATAAAATCCTCTTGCTATTTCTTGGGTTCAAATTTAGTGTACGTCAAAATATTCCTGAGGTCTTAAAAACTTATTCCCTGAGGTTTTACAAATTCTTTAAACAGAAAAAGCTTAGGGAACAACAAGCTGAAAAAAAGCAAAAAGATAATGAAATACAAATGGAAAAATAGTCAAGTGAAAACAAAGAGGCGGTTACAGTGATCACACGAATATCAGTTTTTGAAAATAAATACAGACCAAGTAATATGTATACAATGAGATGATACACCCAAAAGAAAGGAATATCAAACTATAATATCTCGAGTCATATGAAACTCCTCATCTAAAGAGGCATCTAGTTTGACACAAAATGGTACATTTTTCAATTAGTTAAATCTGGTGCTTTATCTTGTAGTAAACCCACAATGTGGTCATGTATATAAGCTAATATGTTTCCTGAAAAAGACTTAAACCAACTCATGACAGGCAACAAACACCCTGAAAGAAAATAACTAAACCCTTTAACCACACAATCCACTCCGAAGAAAAACACTGAACCAGTGTCTACACTATCTTGATAGAAACTACCAAACACTTAAACTAGTGTGAGATGACGAGATTATACCGAACCCTTGGTGGTAGTGATCAGACAGTCATATGTGTAGAATGACAAACTGTGGTTGTTTCTATATACAAAATATAGATCTAGCAATGCAGTGCTGGTAATGCATTATATTTGGATGTAGCCTATGCACATCTTCATTTGCAATGACTTAAATCTACTCAGTCTCTATGTTACTTTAGAAAAATTAGTGGGTTTCAGTGTGTGTGCATCTGCATAGTATGTAGCTATGTATATCTTTTCATATGGATGGATGGTTGAATATATCTACATCTATATCTACATCTGTCTATCTACTGTATATATATTGATACGTCAGTATGAAATTACATACATAGAAATTAATTCATTAATGCCAGGTTAAAAATTTGGCTAGTGGCCATTACTGCAGGATTGTTGGCACATATTGACAATTTTCCCATTTTTGCTCTATGGCAGTTTGCAGGCAACATTAGGCACCTAAAAGTTTATATTTTAATATCAGGTTTGTCTTCACTTTAAGTGCTATTGCTTAAAAGTTTCACCATAGAAATGATGCAGCTGCTATCAGAGAAAAACAAGCTTGGTCCAATGAGCTGGCGACGCGGGAATGGTCATGATGCGATGCCATCCGCTACATGGTCCACAACAGCCATTGCATGTCTGTTCATGCCACCCGGCAGGAAGTGGTTAAACACTCATGCAACAGGAACAGAATACAAGTATTATTTGTCCTACTGTTGCAGCAGTTTAATTTTTTTTTGTGTACAAGTTTTGGCTTTTTTGTATTTTTGATTGAATACATTATTCCAAATAAATAAAACACTTCTTTCCTTGCAGACACTAGCAGAGCTGGAGACAGGGCTTTAGAAAGAGGAGCCAAAGAGGGATAGCTAGTGGAAAATAACCACAGTTCACATAGCTTCCAAAGGTGCGAGGGTCCATGATGCTTTTCTCTTGTCGCTGTCATAACTTGATGATTTACCTTTGTGTTTTACCAATGACTTAAACAAGTCATTTGTAAACTACTTAGTATCATTGCAAATTTTATGGGGGTATGTGCCCTAACTCTGCGACTTGCTATTGGCAATGAGCCAACACTCACACTTACATAGAAGAACACACACACATGCACAGATATATAGACAGACTGATACACAGACTCTCTCACTCACCCACTCACTCACTCACTCACTCTCCTCTCACCTCTCTCTCAAAATGTACTAAACAACATAAGGAAGGACATCTCCTAAATTTACTAACGATCCTGTTCTGCCTTCCACACAACTTTAGATAGATAAAAGATAAAGATACAATTTTTTTTTAAACTACTATAAGCATCATACTCCGTAACAAATACTCGTAGGTATCTTATTGACTTAAATCACTAATGAAACAAGAAACAAGTTCACTCACAATTCCATTCACTTGTGGCTAGAAAACTAAGTGTCACATGCACAGTCCATTCATTTGACAGCTGATAACTTGACACGGGCAGGGTAAGTATATGTGCTTCATCAGTGTGATCTTAGCTTAACCCGCTGGCTCAGAGTACTATATGGCCTGCACCTGGACCAAAATCTGGCCATTCGGCTTTCATGAGCGGTGACTCTCCCAGGTGCAGGGCTCGTTGGCCTAGTCTTACTGGTGTGTTTCTGAATAGGCATATTTAAAAAATGTCTTTTGTAAATTTTCAAGGTCTATATTTGTCATTTGTTATGCTGGATCTAGATGGTAATAGAACGTTTCCACTGAGTAGACTTCATACTGTCTCAAGGTTGTCTACAACTATGTGTAATAATAAAGTAGCATTTTGTTATTTGTGTCATTTTTTTCCTATTTCTGTATTATTAAATTTTCTGCAATACACCAGGGCCCTGTGCATGGAAATTATGTCCTCCCTGGAGTGGGCATTCTTCCAGCCATGGCTCACGGAGAGTTCATTCCACACACATTTAACGGTGAAAATAATGCAGTCCCTTCCTAAATGGTCACTGAGACTAATCTTCCTTCAAGAGCTTTGTGCACTTATGATGACTCATTCTTGGCCCCAGAGCCCTCGGCCGAATCTTTAATAACGGCAACATTCCAGTCACACTGGTCCTCGGCCAAAATGTTCCAAGGCAGCGTATTCCCATCACCTCACCATCAGCCAATTTTTAAAACATGAAAATCTAGTCACTCAGATTCGTTGAGTTAATTTGGTTTACGCGTAGACGGCTTCGCAAGAGCTTAGTCTAAAAGGAGTCAATTATTTTCTCTACTTCATCTTCTTATTCACCTGCTTCCTTGTTTTTCAGAAATATTTACACTTTCTATTTTCACTGCTAATAGAATTGTTAATATTATTGATAACAATGATGTTAATAAGAATGTTGATAATAATAACAATAATAACCATGATAATTATAAAAATAATAATAATAATAGTGTAATGATACTAATAATAGAAATGATTAAAAAATAATAATAATAACAATAATGGTTAAAATTCAAGAAGCATTAATTTTTTTTCTCTTAAAGTCAAGGAATGGGGTAATTAGGTCAAGTTAGATAAGCCTACTGATCGACTCTTTCATGACTAAATGCTCATAGAAACATGTATGTGTAAACAAAATTCATAGACAAAAAATAAATGTGGATATGTCACATACTATCGCTCTTCTGGTATCTACGAGTTAAATTCTATTTGTAGTCTCTCGTACTGCCTTGCTAACTATAAAGGGATAACAATTTTGCAATACATCGTGCTGTTTATGGATCTCAATGTACTTTTTTAGGGTATTTTTAATAGTTTCTAGTTTCCTAAAGGAGATGGAAATCGAGCTGTTTATATCATATACTTTTAGACATGAGGAGATGTATAATATCTTTTAGCCAAAAGGTTTAGTAGAAGGATCAAATGCCTGTCAATGCTTTCTTTATGAAAAAAGAAGTATTCTGATATGCATCTCAAGTTGATCAAAATGCAATCGGAAGTGTATAAAATGCAACAGAAAGTGGCATAAATTTCTTTATATCCTGACTTCCAGTCTATTTGTCTTGAGGAAAATCATTGATAATAACCTTGTCCATGTTTGACCTAACTGGTTTAACCTTACTTTAACCCCCCCTCCTTCCACAATCCCTCCCTCCCATCCTATCTCCCCTCCCTTCTCCCCTCCCTTCCACACCATACCCCACACCCCCCTGCATCCCACATATCTACCCCACACACCTACCTAAGTACGGCGAACAGAGGGAAAGAATCGCACGGTGGGCCCTGACGATGCCCCCGTCGCACACGAGGGAGACGTCTGTATACGCTCTGCCGTGGTGGAGTTCCGAGAGCATGGTGGTGAAGGTGGTGGCGTGTGAGTGCCATCTCAGGTGGAGCTGTGTGTCGGGGGCCGTCTCACCCATCCTGGAAATAATCCAATCTAATTAATAATCTTATTATCATCATCGTTCTTAATATTAGTATTATTCTTACCATTATAAATATCGTAACTGCTATTATTACTGATATTCTTACTGTTATAGATATCATTGTTGGTATTAATAGTGATAATAACATTATTATCCTATTGTTATTGTTACTATTACTATTATAAATACTGTTGCTATTAGTAATGATATTATTACTATCATAAATATCATTGTTCCTATTAATGCTGATATTATTACTATCATAAATATCAAGTTTACTATTATCACTGAAATTATTCATTTTATAAATATTGCCTTTATCATTGATGATATTGTTGTCGCTATTATTGCTAATATCACAGTTATAGATAGTCTTGTAGTTTCATTACTTCTCTCTATTCTTTTTATAACTATTATTATCTTTACTAACATTCACATTATTCTATTATCATTATTGTTATCATTATCATTATCATTACCATAATCATTATTGCCATTATTACTCTCATCATCATCATTACCAGTTTAATCAATACCCTTTTCATTATTACCATAATATTCAACATCTACAAAAATAAAATGGTGACTGGAATTCATTTTTTTTATAAATAAAATGTTAAAATGAAAATAATTTCCTTCTCCATAAATATTATCTTTATCAAAAGCCAAACATATATATAAATGTATGCAAACATATATATTTTTCTACCCTGGCTGTTGGTATCTTTATCAAAAGCCAAAAATATATATAAATGTATGCAAACATACA